GTGTGTGTGTGTGTGTGTGTGTGTGTGTGTGTGTTTTTTCCCTAAACGAGGTCTTGCTATGCTACCCAGGCTACTCTCAAACTCCTGGCTTCAGGCAACCCTCATAACTGTGTGTGTGTGTGTGTGTGTGTGTGTGTGTGTTCCCTAAACGAGGTCTTGCTATGCTACCCAGGCAACCCTCATGCCTTAGCCTCCCAAAGTGTGGGGATTACAGGTGTGAGCTATGTACCTGGCCTCAAGCCTGACTTTCGATTTTTGTTCTGATTCTTCAAAGAGCAGAACACGTTTCACACAATTTACTATTTTTTAAAACCGTGTGTGAAATATATTAAGAAATGCTAATATATATATGTGTATGTGAGTGTGTGTGTGTGTGTATTGAGATCTGATCTCACTCTGTCACCCAGGCTGGAGTAGAGTGGCAAGGTTCCTGCAGCCTTGACTTCTGGGGCTCAAGCAATCCTCCTACCTCAGCCTCTGAGTAGCTGGGACTAAAAGTACATGCCACCACAGCTAATTTTTGCATTTTTTTGTAGAGATGGGGTTTCAACATATTGCCTAGGCTGGTCTCGAACTCTGGGGCTCAAGCAATCTGCTCACCTTGGGGCCTCCTAAAGTGCTGGGATTACAGGCATGACCTACCACGCCTGGCCTAAGATTTTTTTTTCTTCAAAACCTGTAATCTAAACTATTATATAGCTGAAAATTGATTTCTAGGTCTCTGCACAATCCATTCACTTTATACTTTTAGTTTCCAAATCTATATATGCCACAAACCCCAAACATGAGTAGCCACATATTTGCTCTGCATTTCCTCTGTCCATGCTGGGTTAGCAGAAGCATTAAGTGTTAGTATGGCAAGACAGAGGGCCCTGTATAACATGCCTCTGTAACCATATGTAAAGAGTTCCACTTTAAAATTACAGACATGACACAGAAATACTTCCTTATGACCCTCTCTGAAATATGAACTTTTCAGGCATGTGAAGAATATAAAAACAAATGCAGAAAATATTTCATGAAGCTGACATTGAGAAAGCACTTGAAGGCTTGCTTTCTTGGTTCTGTTGTACCAATCTTTAGCATCACTCCTGACAGACATTAAATCTACTAGTTCAGTACAAAGGTATGCTTTTCTTTCTTTTTTTTTAGACAGAGTCTCACTCTGTTACCCAGGCTGGAGTGCAATGGTACAATCTCAGCTCACAGCAACCTCCTGATCCCAGGTTCAAGTGATTCTCCTGCCTCAGCCTCCTGAGTAGCTGGGATTACAGGCACATGCCACCACGCCCAGCTAATTTTTGTATTTTTAGTAGAGACAAGAGTTTTGCCAGGTTTGCCATGCTGGTCTCAAACTCCTGACCCCAGGTGATCCACCCGTCTTGGCCTCCCAAAGTGCTGAGATTACAGGTTTGAGCTACCACACCTGGCCAAAAGCATGCTTTTCTGATGTTGCACACCTCAAAGAAGCTATACCATCTGAGTTTAGATTAAGTAAGAACTGTCAGACTCTACATTCATGAATTTAAGCAGGAGCCCCGTAGCACTAAGAAGCTAAGTAATAACATTCTGAGTTCCCATTTCAGGAGCCACACTTTGAAATCCCTTCCAAGAAGACAACTAAGGTCAATTAGGAGGTCACTCATCTCCTAGGTCTTTGTTTTGTTTTTTGTTGTTGAGATGGAGTTTTGCTCTGTTGCCCAGGCTGAAGTGCAATGGCGCCATCGCGGCTCACTGCAGCCTCTGCTTCCCGGATTCAATTGATTCTCCTGCCTCAACCTCCCAAGTAGCTGGGATTACAG